TCATCACAGCTCACAGCAACCTCCAACTCCTGGGCTCAAGCGATTCTCCTGCCTCTGTCTCCCAAGCAGCTGGGACTACAGGCGCCTGCCACAACGCCCGGCTATATTTTTGGTTGCAGCCACCATTGTTGTTTGGCGGGCCCAGGCTGGATTCGAACCCGCCAGCTTGTGTATGTGGCTAGCGCCTTAGCCGCTTGAGCCACAGGCACCAAGTCCCTCTCCCAGATTTTGATTCCATAAAATATCTACTCACCCCAGGGCAACTCTATACTGATCCACATAGATCTCTATTCACAGCAGTGAGCCTGGCTTACAGACCAATTTTGGGCTTAGCAGTGGTTTAACCCCTCTGTCTTCCCCATTCTTCAAACTCATATAACCTTCAATCATGTCAGCTTTAAGGGCAACCAGCATCATGAGCTATCTTGAGCACCTCTACTCCAACACCAGCATTCAAAAATAAATGAAATCAAGTATAAGTGTTCTTTCCCCACCCCATTTTATTCCTTATGTTGGAAAGATAGGGTCTCATTATTTTCACTGTACCTCCACTTTTATCACAAACCCACAAAAACTCCCAACTTCAAAATCATTCTCAATTCCAAACAATTGAAATCCACACACCACTTATTATTCAAAAATAATTTCCAATCAATAGAAAAGGTGAAATAGTACAATGACTATCCATATACTTTGCACCTAGACTCAATATTATTAATGGTTTGCCACATTTTCTTTCTCTCTCTAAATACACACCTTATTATTGTGAACTACTTATTCACATCACCCTTCATAGGCTAAGGCTTTTCTGAACAAATCTACTTTTCAACTATGTTTATAGACTTTAAAGATATTCGAACTGAGTCAGGTGTGGTAGCTCATACCTGTAAACCTAGCACTCTGGGAGGCCAAGGTAGGTAGACTGCCTGAGCTTATCTGTTCAAGATCCGCCTGAGCAAGAGCGAGGCCCTGTCTCTTAAAAAAATAGCTGGGCATTGTGACAGGCACCTGTAGTCAGTCCCAGCTACTCAGTAGGCTGAGGCAAGAGAATTGCTTAAGCCCAAGAGTTTGCAATTGCTGTGAGCTGTGACACTACAGCACTCTACCAAAGGCAACAAAGAGAGACTCTGTCTCAAAAAAAAAAAAAGTTATTTTAACTGATAAATATATATATATATATATATAGGCAGTTTTTGGCTGGGGCTAGGTTTGACCCTGCCACCTCTGCCATATGGGGCCGGTGCCCTACTCCTTTGAGCCATAGGCACCACCCCTCTAACTGATAATTTTTTAGCCCCCCAAAATAAGACAACCACATATTCCACCACTATACATTACTGATGTTTTTGACAATTAATGCCAACCATGAAGAGTGTGGATTATTCTTTGTAACAACAGTCAATACTTTAAGTCTGACCACTTATAGGTAAGCAGTGAAAAACATAAAATTTAGGGACCATTAAAACTGTGGGAATGCCGCCCAATAAAAATACATTTGATTCAGACATGTTGGCATGTGCTGAGGCTGAGGTGGGAAGATCACTAGTGCCCAAGAGTTTGAGGCCAGATTAGCAGAGTGCAAATTTAAAACAAATAAATAAAACAAATTTGATAAAGTACTTACAGAAAAGAGCATGTTCTTCTTATCTTGGTTGACCGCCCGTGGATCAGGGACAGGGTCAGTGTGCTTGATGACAGATACAGATTCCCCTAAGCAGGTTGTGAGACAGAAGGGAGGTTAGATCTGAGCAATCCTTACCTAGACCCTAGAATTCTTCATCTGTGCCAGGCCATTAGCACTCCCAGGATATTGTCATTATGGGAAAAGGGAAAAAAGGACCAATTACCTAGTTCCTTTAAAGGAGGTAAACTAGGAAAATTTAATAATGAATATTAATTATAGAGCAAAGAATGTCAGAATTAAAAATCAATACAATTCCAAAACATACTAAATTTTCCAGTGAAATCTCAGTTATCTTTATTTTCTAGAGTAAATATTCACAATTTTAAGCTATCATTTTGTACTCTGACACTATGAATATATACACATATCTGTTGTGCATTTACAAGGATCATCCACCTTGTATTTTGTTCAATGTCAAAAACCAAAAACAAAAGCATTGTGTCAGAAATATCTACATACACTTATCAGACCATTCTGTTTCAATAAAGCAAAAATTTTGATATTTATTTATTTATTTATTTGCAGTTTTTGGCCGGGGCTGGGTTTGAACCCACCACCTCCGGCATATGGGGCTGGAGCCCTAACTCCTTTGAGCCACAGGCACCACCCCTAAAGCTAAATTTTAAAAAAGCAATTAGTGGTTGCACTGAAAGGATCATACAGCATAAAGAACTACTTTTGGGAACTTGTATAACAAGTTATTGAGTTTAGTTTCAACTTGGTATCACTGAAAAGATATGTTATTGTCAGGGTCAATCTGCAAAGTAAAATATGTCTCCAATAATTGTTAATTTAGGTAACAAACTTCACTCTCAATATCTGACCCCTCCTCCCAAAATTGATTCTCTAATTTACCTAAAACTACCATATGATTATCTAACAAAAGATGACATTGTTAAATAGCGGCCGGGGGGG